GCAGTTCTTGGGAGCCTGGCTAGAGCTTCCCCATCTGTCCCGCTGGGTCGCACAAACTATCAGGCTCGGCTATGCGATTCAGTTCGTGCGGTCTCCTACCCGCTTTAGGGGAGTCCGCTTCACTATGGTCGGTGGCAATGCCCCTGTCATGAGAGCGGAGGTTGCTACCCTACTGGCGAAGGGTGCGATCGAGACTGTCCCTCCAGCCGAAATGAGGTCCGGCTTCTACAGCCCCTACTTCATTGTCCTGAAGAAATCCGGTGGGTTACGACCAATCCTGGACCTGCGCGTTCTGAACCGCTCCCTTCACAGGCTGCCGTTCAAGATGCTCACAGCCAAACGCATTTTCGAATGTGTGCAGCCCCAGGATTGGTTTGCAGCGATCGACCTGAAGGACGCCTACTTCCATGTCTCCATTCTCCCTCTACACAGACCGTTCCTACGGTTTGCTTTCGAGGGGCAGACATACCAGTACGCGGTTCTCCCTTTCGGGCTAGCCCTGTCTCCTTGCATCTTTACGAAGGTCGTCGAGGCAGCCCTTGTTCCCCTTCCGGAACACGGGGTTCGCATCCTGAACTATCTCGACGACTGGCTGATACTAGCTCACTCTCGAGACCAGGTTTGCGAACACAGGGACCTAGTGCTCCGGCACTTAGCTCGTCTGGGTCTTCGGGTCAACTGGGAGAAGAGCAAACTTTGCCCCGTGCAGAAGATCTCTCTTCTCGGTATGGACATCGACTCGGTCGCCATGTCCGCGCAGCTTACGAGCGAGCGCGCGCAGTCACTGCTGACTTGCCTGAGACAATTCGAGGGCAAGAGTGCGGTTCCACTGAAACTATTTCAGAGGCTCCTGGGGCATATGGCATCTGCAGCAGTGGCATCGCCGCTAGGATTGCTTCATATGAGACCGCTTCAGCTTTGGCTTCGCGACCGAGTCCCGAGGTGGGCATGGCAACACGGCACCCTCCGAGTACCAGTTATTCCGACCTGCCGTCAGACCTTCTCCCCGTGGTCGAACCTCAGTTTTCTACGGGCTGGAGTGCCCCTGGAACGAGCTTCCCGGCATGCTGTTGTCTCAACAGATGCCTCCACCACAGGTTGGGGCGCCATGTGCAATGGACAATGGACGTCTTGCTCTGCACCGCTTCCGGGCGTTGCTCAAGGGTCAACACGTACTAGTCCGATCAGACAATACCGCCACTGTAGCGTACATCAACCATCAAGGTGGTCTACACTCCCGCCGTATGTCGCAACTCCCCCGTCACCTCCTCATATGGAGTCAGAAGCATCTGAGGTAGCTTCGAGCCATTTATATTCCCGGAGCCCTGAACTACGCAGCCAACGAGCTCTCACGGCTTCAGCCCCTCCCCGGAGAATGGTGACTCCATCCCCAGTCGGTTCAGCTGATTTGGGACCAGTTCGGGGACGCACAGATAGATCTGTTTGCCTCTCACGACTCGACCCATTGCGACCTGTATTATTCCCTGACCGAGGGCACGCTCGGCACGGATGCACTGGCGCACAGCTGGCTGCGGGGCCGCAAGTATGCGTTTCCCCCAGTGAGCCTCCTTCTGCGCAAGGTCAGGGAGGACGAGGAGCAGGTCATTCTGGTCGCGCCACACTGGCCCACCCGGACCTGGTTCTCTGAACTTGTACTCCTCGCGACAGCACCTCCCTGGCCAATTCCTCTGAGGAAGAACCTCCTTTCTCAGGGACGGGGCAACCTATGGCACCCTTGTCCCGATCTTTGGAACCTCCATGTGTGGCTCCTGGACGGGACGAGGCAGGGTTGAGTACCCTACCACCAGCGGTGGTGGCTACCATTACTTCCGCTAGAGCGTCGGCTTACTCTCATGTGATCCTGAGACCCAGCCTGGGTATGTGCCCAAGGTTCCCACCACTCCCTTCCGGGACCAGGTGTTGAACCTGCAAGTGCTGCCCCTGGAGGAGGCAGACCCAGCCTTGGGACTGCTCTGTCCAGTATGCGCCCTCCGCACCTATGTAGACAGAACGCAGTGTTTCAGGACCTCAGACCAGCTCTTTGTCTGTTATGGTGGGAAGCTGAAGGGAAAGGCTCTCTCCCAAGCAAGGCTGTCTCACTGGACAGTGGACGCCATTGCTTTGGCATACCAGCAGCAAGTTCGACCGTGCCCCCTTGGTGTGACTGCCCACTGCACCCGGAGTGTGGCGTCCTCTTGGGCTCTAGCGCATGGCGCCTCGCTAACAGACATCTGCAGAGCTGCAGGCTGGGCGACACCCAACACATTCGCCAGATTCTACAATCTCCGAGTGGAGCCTGTGTCCTCTCATGTACTCGCTTCAACCAGCTACTACCGGACCCGTTCAGGTGTCTACGCTTGCTCGCCATTCCACTCCACAGAATGGATACGTGTGATATTTCCTCAGGTGAGCTTCCCTCAAGCCCTGAGTTCCTAAAGCACTGCTGACGTCGACGCCAGTGTCTATTGCCTGCGCGTTGGCTAGGTGCATCCGTGTGCATGGTCCCCCATCTGGGCGACCCTCACATGTGTATTTCCACTGTAAGCCTCTCTGAGCATGTGTCTTTCCCTCGGCAAGCAACCTTGCCACCCCTGGGGTGGAAATATTCCACCTGCGGCTGGACACCCCAGTGTTCTCCATATGCATCCCTCTGGGTCATATGTGTATTCTCTAAGGATCTCAGATTTACGCAGGGCACTGGAAGACAGCTGTGAAGGTGGCGTGATTAGACTGGTAACCCCATTTGTCGTCATCCGACGTAACTCGGAGTGACAACGAAAGGGAACGTCTCGGTTATGTATGTAACCCTCGTTCCCTGAGTAGGGAACGGAGACGTTACGTCTGCCTGCCACTTCCGCTGTACCACGGGGATCGCCTGAGCTCAGTCTAGGCTCCTCAGCGAAGAAACATATCTGCATGTTGCCGGCGTCCTCCTTTATACCCACGAGGTGGGGTGGAGTTGCGCCATGGAAATTCCGCAAACCCATGGCATTTCTTTGCCATTGGCTCGTTTTTTAATACTCAAAGTCGATAGGCTTTCTAAGCGAAACCCCATTCGTCATCATCCGACGTAACGTCAAGGGAACGAGGGTTACATACGTAACCGAGACGTTATACCCTTCACCACACACACACACACAGCAGTTAAATCTTACACCAAGGTCTAAGCTACGTCCTTGCTTCAGGTTGAATAATTCTCATTGGCTAAGAAATAGATAAACATAGTAATTTTCCACACATAAACAGATAGACTGAAGCATATCTCCATGCATTATTCGGCTGACACTCGGACCCTGCAGTTAGGCATGTCGTGACCTTCCAGGTCACAGATCTGCGTTTCTAGTCGCCAACATGTCGAAGAAAACAACTCAGTCAATTACCAATAATGCCACTTGTTCCTTAATTTGAAACCAATAAGACTAACACACACACATACACACAGCTTCTTCAAGGTTCGATTTGGCCAGGCTCTAACTATAAACAGGAGAGTCCTCTCAAAACATCAAGATAATACGTTCTTTCTCTCAGCGAGAGGACACTTTTAATATAACACAGTTCTCAAGGAAAGGGCACTTTAGTCTAACTGGAAAGTAAGGCTTTAACAAAGAAATGTTCCCTTAAACTATAGACTTCAATGGCCCCTGTGACCATAGTTGTCAGGGTACCATAGAAAAGCAGATGGATGTATTGACACATGTTAAAGAAGTCCATAATTCATTTCTGGAAGCTGGGCTAAATGATCAAGCTCTGTTACTGCATTCCTGGCATTGAGCCAGACCCTCAGTCACCTCTCAGATATATTATACAGACTAGAAAGAATACATAAAAGGACACTGGTAACTTCTAAAACAAAGTAAAATCTCATAAGCCTAGAGAAGTTATTCAACTCATTTGATATGTAAAAGGAAAAATATTGATTAACACCTTGATTATAACCACTCATTAGATGTACATTGAAGCAGCAGTTTATTCCAGAATCCACCCCTTCACTCTCTACAAGAGTCAGTGTCACTTACATTTGATTAGTCACCTAGAAATAGTTCAGAATCTCCTCTTAATTTTCATAAATGTTCATTTTAATGTTTAAAACATTGTTCTTGTATTCTAGATGGTCATTGTGGTCTCAGACATTGTGTACATGTGTTTGTGGCTCAATAAATTGATGGATTAATAAAAATCTAAACCGTAATTAGATTAGATCATGCAATGCATTTTTTAAGTATTTTTTTGGGTGCGAAACAATCTCACATGATTTCATGATCCCATGTTGCACAAAGAGTTTCTTGTAGTATAGCATACTTGTTGCAAAATTCGTTACACAACAGTAAAGTGATTACAAGGCCAACTTAAAGGTATAGCGGAGGATCTTTCAGAATTTTAGAGAAGACCCGCCCCCTCTCCAATTTTTTTAAAAATGCACATGCGCAACACTCTATTTGCTCCCGAGAGGGAACGCCTATTAAACTTTTACTAGCAGTGATTTTAAATGGATTTCTCCAAATAGCATGACAAACTTTACCTGTCTAGTAGAATCTTCGCGACTGCGGCATCAGTGGGAAGCCCAACCTGTGCTTTTAGCGCACGCCAGCGTGTGAAATATTCACCCAAAATCACTCTGGTCTTGTTTCTATATTCTGCGGCCTTTCTCTTCTTATCATACACTTTGTATACATTTTTTCTCTTTCGACCCTCAGCCATTTTCAAAGGAATGGCTGAAACCGTAACTCATCACACATAATACACCTGAAAGTGCGCATGCGCAGAAAGCGAAAACTATATAGGGACGAGCACGTACGACGGCCTTACGTAAACATATCACCAGAATGATTGACACTTAGGTGGACCAATAGTATAGACTACCCACCCGGAAAAAGAAAATCCTCCGCTATACCTTTAAATTTTCAAATATTTTGCAAACATTACAGTAAGCAATACAACTGAAAGCATCTATGATTAACTCATGTATCCAGTCTCAGTGCATTATTTTGCGTTTTGTGCAGGCGGTTCCCTGGTGAGACTCTGGCGTAGTGCTATGTGTTCAGCTCAGGCTCGGGAGAAAGGTCAGGCCCTTCTCAATGACCTCATCCTCAACCCCAAGTTCCCTGCCACCAGTCTGATGTCAATCCTGACCGAGATGACCACCAGCTGCTGACGTCTCCAACAGATGTAAAACCTGATCTGTTAATCTGCAGGTGTGTGTGCTGTGGCCACGACATGCGCCGTTCGCATCTTTAACTAATAAAAAAAGAAGAAATCAAACACTGCTCCGTTCCATCTCATTTATTCACTGTAAACCAGACAAAATACACAAAACCATGACAACAATTTGTCTTGCTCCACAAAATACTGTGGAAAAAAACAACTTTATAATCTGTGGCTTTATATAACAAGACTGTACACGACTGTACAAGAAACCTGTGATAAATCTAACCTTAGGTTAACAATAATTCTAAAACAAATATTTCACTGGCACACATAAAAATAAAAAAGTGTCAATATGCAGAATGAATGGGCAAATAAAGTCCACATGACGATCACAGCCCGTTCTCAGTGAGTATGTGCAGCTGCGGCCTGGAGAGACACAAGGTTACGCCGGACATCTCGAAACGCCTCACCATAAAAACACTTCATTTCTAACAGCTTTGTTGTCAGTATTGCATTTTTGTCCAATGCCAATAAATTGAATTCCTCATGTCATTGTAATGTAACAATACTATTTGACTGGCACACAGATGTGAGCTCAGGTTAAAACGACTCTCTCTTGCTTGCGTTTGGGAGCGGCTCGTGACCCAGTCGCTTGTATAACCACCTTTAAAAAGAGAAATAATTTTCTGTACGGTTTTATCAGTATCGTACATCTACAGGCCAAATGGGTTCTTTGTGATTTTTCCAAACATTATTGTCTGACCTGGTATTGAATTTGCTAGGAAGCCCATTGTGAAGACTGACAGCTGTTTGCACTGTTTGTACTGTATATGGAGAAAAGACAGACGCTGTTTTAATACTTTAGCCCTAAAGCCCTTCTCAGATTTATGAATAGCAATCGCTTTGATCCACACCTAAACACTTTAGAACCATTTGCTTTTTATTAGTTAAATAATGCCCTGTCTGTTATAGGGAGACCATAATTTGACCAAACAAAGATGCTTGTGAACTAATGTACTTTAACCTGTTTGCCCGAAGCTTGGCATTTATCCCATTAAGAAAAGCATTTCCACAAATCACAGCATCAGCACAGTGTACATTTTTACAATGGGATTTGAAAACATTGACCTTCACCTAATAAATTATTTCCATTCCATCATATGTATAGTTAAATATCATGTCATGTCATCATTAATGTCATGTGAAATGTGTGTTGCACCATGTTGTATTTCACTCATGTATGTGTGTGTATATATATATTGTGTATACTCATATTGTGTTACTCGGCGTTCCTTTCACGCCCATGTTAACAGGCTGTTCCTGGTACACCCTTCTTATGTTGTCAAGCTGATCCTCATCTATATATTCATAATCATGCACATCATTGTCGTCATCTTGGTTGTTTACGATGGAGATGTCGTCCAGACTTCGGCCCTTGGCGAGAGCTGAAGAGGAATCAAACGCCAACACAAAGTTTGAGTGAGGACACAAGGACACACAGGCCTTAAAGCACAGCCTGTTAAAGGTGAAGTGTGTCATTTTTTGTGTTAAAATACCTTCTCATGTCCAACCTAAATGTGTAGAGCTAACTATAAAAGAAGCAACTAGTAGGCAAAAGATAGATAGAGCAAGTCTTCAGGAAACCTGCAGTTCTCCAGTTGGTGGCGCAGACATTACACACTTCACCTTTAACATATGCTGCTAAACACTGAAGAGAAAGTTGATGAATGTTCCTACCTTTCTGCAGGGTAGGTTTTGGCAATGTGACTGGACTAGTGGGAATCTTTTTGTCATTTCCACTGCATTGCATGAAGTCGTCTTGTTTAAAAGGTTCAACACAAAGAGTCTGTTACGGGGATGACAGAACGATAGGAAATTACATGATGTCAATAATAAGTGAATATAAAAGTTTTATTAGTGTATTTTTAAATGCTTTGCCATTATTTTCACAATCAGGCAACGGAAAGTCTTCTTAAGCCCTATGTTCAGTACAGTTTTCTTTAAATGATTGCAACCAATTAGAATGTTTGTAAAAGTATAAATGTTCCCAAATGAGCCAAGAAATTATGTGGAATCATTTTTATCATGTGCCATCAACATGCATGCAGTAGAGGGTTTTCTCCACATCTAGTGGTTTAGAGGAATATAACATCAAAGGCACCTTTAGCCCTGTTGTTCCCTATTATGTATCATTATAGGTCAGGCTCACTCAGTTTTATACAGTTTATAACAAAGTCTTTCTTTTTTACGTCTTCCTATCATTTTTTTGGTCTCCTCCACCAACAATGTCTATGAGGATGAAAATCTGAAAGTGTAACAGAAACTAAATGTGAAAAATAATAATATATATAAAGTAGCTGAATATGCTCGCAGATGTGCAATTTCATTATTTTATTTAAAGAACAATAAATAACCTGAATGGTTGCAAAAAAACAACTTTCACCAGTGAGGTGTGCAGTAATAATATGGTTGAAGAATCTCTTATAAAACCGTTCGGGAAACACCCATAGGAGTGATATCCATAATAAAGGCTAGATGTCTTACGGCGGAGTCTCTATCGTCATCACCGGCGGCCATCTTGTCACAGGCAAGCTTTCTGGCGGGCTCTGTGGTGCCTGATGTGAGATGAGTGATCAGCACGAACACAAATACTCTTATCTCGTTGAAATCTTGACGGATTTACAAACGGTTTGGTTTCTTACAAACGTTATTAACGTGGGTATAATTCTGGATGATTATTTATTTATACACTTATTATTCATAAGTATGCAGTGTCGTAACTACATCTCTGACGTTTATAACAAACCAAACCGTTTGAAAATCGGTAGAAAATTGAGCAAGTTATGGTTATTTGAAAAGAACATGCACCATTAAAACACAATGTTACGAGTGAGCGAGCTGCCTGTGACAAGATGGCCGCCAGCGCGGACGTCGACATCCATTGGCCAGCAGCGCGGACGAGACAGCTAGCCTTTATTATGGATATCTATGGGCTACAGCGCCTCTTGGTGGATTATGCAATAAGACAATGCATTAACCCTCTATGGTACGGTGTTGCCTCCAGGCAACATAGTCTATTTTAGCTTTTTTTAAATAAAAACTAATACAATTTTATTTGTCAATGCTCTCTAAGGGGAGGGGAACTCAAATACTAACCAATGAAAATGCAAAATAGTGGTAACATGACCCACAGGGGTCCATTGTGTTCCCTCTTTCAGCACACGTGCACATGTCACATGGCTCCATATTTTCTCCACTGACAAGGGCATTTTTCACTAATTTCTGTCCAGATAATCAACTACAAAAAATCTTAGTCATGTTCATTGGTTAGTAAAGAAGTATTTTCAAAAACATTACATTATATATCATCAAATGTATCATAGGGAATTACATAAAACTGCATGTTGCCTCGAGGCAACATTGTACCTTAATGGAATCACATAAGGCCATACCAGGCATACTAGGTTTGAATACAAGTATAGTTTAATTGTAAGGAAAAGAGTTTGAACTATCTAAATGTATCTGGATTTTTACAATCTGAAAACTCAGCATGGTTCGACAGTCACTTTTGGCCACTATAGTGGGTAATCGGGCAAATAGTGGGTTTGTGGGACGGGGCGTGTGGCTTGTGAGTGGTCAGCGGGGGTCGACGGGACATTTGGCCACTATAGTGGGTAATCTGACAAATAGTGGGTTCGTGGAATGGGGCGTGTGGCTTGGGAGTGGTCAGCCGGGGTCGACGGGACATTTAGCTACTATAGTGGGTAATCGGACAAATAGTGGGTTTGTGGGACGGGGTCGTGGCTTGGGAACGTTCAGTGGGGTCAACGGGACATTTGGCCACTATAGTGGGTAATCGGACAAATAGTGGGTTTGTGGGACGGGGTCGTGGCTTGGGACCGTTCAGTGGGGTCAACGGGACATTTGGCCACTATAGTGGGTAATTGGACAAATAGTGGGTGGCACACAGGATGAAGGCGGCGCTGCTTCTGGGATTTTCGGATTTTGGGGTGCTCCCGTCGGGCCCCTAGGGGGGTCAGGCCCCCCTGACCTCACACGGGTCATTAGGTCGGCCTGGGAGGTCTTTCACATGTTTGATCTTGCTGTTGTTCAGGCCTGGCCTTCATATTAGGAAAAGGTTATGGTGATTGTTAATGTTTTACCCTGAAACAACACCGATTGTAATGTTTTGATATGATAACTTGATATGATGGTTTGTAGTACTTGCGTTCCACGATGGTACAATGTTGCCTGAGGGCAACAGCTGGAAAATAAATGTTACTTTTTATTAAATATGAAATGTGTAATTCATTAAAAACTTGATAAATGTGTTTGTTCAAGTGTTTAGTTAAATAAATTGATGTTTTCAATAAATCTATAATTTTTTTCTTCATGAAAATGTCAAATGTTTCAATTTGTCCATTGTGGTACAATGTTGCCCTGAGGCAACAAACTTTTAATTAATAAATAAATTTAAAAATAATGATAATGTTTATTGATATTGTTATAGTGTCCAATTTTAAGCAGGAAAAACATAACAAATATTTTTTTTCTCACTGATATCATATTGCGTACCATAGAGGGTTAAGAATCGAGCAGTTCAGCCATGATGTCATTTTGTAGGCCAACCATTACCATTATTTTCAAAAATAATTTTTAATATAATGAAATGTTCTTCATTCTTCAACTTTGTTTATTTAGATAATAAACAAACATTTTCATGATGAACTCCAGCTTGACCAGGAGAGATGAAGGGTGTTGGTGGACATTGACTATTCACAGATCATTTCAGGAATGTCGTGGCCTTTTTTTCTCCTAAGTAATTCTCTGGATATTGTTTACTATGTGTGTAATAATGGCAAGAAAGGCCTCTTTCAATGTGTGACATCTTATGTTTCATAAACCTGTTTTTTTTTTTTTTTGGTCAAATTAATCCCTTCATAAATGAACATCATGTACTGTATAATTGTCATGTTTTCATTTTTGGCCATTGTGTTTAGTTTTGCTTTGGCTTTACTTTTGCTTTTAACACACAAAGTCACACAAAGCTGAGAACCATCATACCTTCATCAGTTTGGGTGTCTCTTGAGCAATTAATGTGACGATAGTGATACTTAGGATGGACTTTATTAAAATATTATCCATCATCCAATATCAATGTATTGTGCATTGGCAGATTTTTTTCAAATTATAAAATATCTGCCAGTGTAGTAGACAAAACACAGAAGTAGTATTCTACATACAATTTAACCCTCTGGGGTCTAAGGTGTATTTGGGGGCCTTGAGATGTTTTGACATGCCCTGACATTTGTGCTTTTTTAAGTTGCTTATAAACCTATTAATGGCACAGGTGAAATTACACTCTATTTAGCACAAACAGGGCTACCATAATATGTGAGCAACATGTATGTACATGTTTCTATTTTTGAGAGAATATTGTTTATGCATGGTTATTGAAAAAAACTAAAGTTTCTGAAATAAGGCCACAAAACACATACTAATTATGTGTCATCAAGACTTTAAATGGATGTTGTCGCCTAGAGTCTTTGCTTCAAAATGATCTGAAAATCATCCTGCCTAATCATTCACATAAAACAATAGATTGTTTTAAATTGTGAAAAACATTTTTTTGTTTGGAAAGGCAATATGCGTGGCCCAACCCCCTCATGAATAATTAGGTGGTTCTCACCTGAGAAGACAAAGACCCGCATAATAATGAGCCTTTCATTCAGGTGTGTTACACAAGAAAGAATGCAAGGACAATATATATATATATATATATATATATATATATATATATATATATATATATATATATATATATGTGTGTGTGTGTGTGTGTGTGTATGTATATACACACATGTGTATGTATATACACACACATATATATATATAATCAAAATATAAATGAAAGTCAAAAGCACATTTTTAGTCATACCTGGAAACAAATCCTGGTCAAATAGGTTATATGGGCCATTCTATAGAATTGTTTCTAAATTAGAGTTGGAAACATCTTGAAAAGAAAATTGTCTTTTTCCATAAATGTCTTATAAAAGTATTATTTTTTAAAGTAGGCCAATACATTTTATCATACATATTTCAAAGTTAAGGATTCATTATTTGTATATAGCTTGCATTGGAACAAACACTATAACAGTTGATTAGTTTATTTTTGACGAAACATACTATATATTTAACATATGAGCAGAAACTGCTAACAAAAACTTATTTGATGTCTATTTTAGAGTAAAACGTTATAATCTATCCAAAACTAGTCAATGAAATATTGTCTTTTATTTCGTCTGTAACAGTGCGCGCATGTGCGTTTGTTCATTCACACACCCAGACACCCGATTCATATAGTCTTTTTGGTTTTACAGATATTATTCTATATCGTGATTAGAACAGATCTCAGTAGGCTATAGCAATATAGTTTGGATGTGTTCATGTAAAATAATGTAGGAGGGAGAGTGAATGAACGGCACAGATGTTGTAGTAACATCGCGCACGCGTCTGTGCCATTCATTCATTCATTCATTCATTCATTCACACACAGACACGCAATTCATATTTAAAGAGTCTTTGTGCAGTTTACAGACACTATTCAATAACGCGATTAGAACAAAGCACTTAATAATAAATAACTTACTAGATCAGCTGGATCCGCTCCTCGAAATGAAACTACCAGCACTTCTGAGGTAACTTTTCCAGGATTATTACGATAGTATTATTCCTCACAGCGCAGCAAGACGAGGTAAAGTACAAAATTCTTATTAAACTGGATGTTTTATCCAGCTGATGTGGGCGTTTTCATGGCTTGCCTCAACATTCGCGTTTGAATAGCGCGCGCTCTCCGTGGGCGTGGTCACATTAACACGTCATACGCTATAATTAGCTGAAAGGAAAAAGACTGACATCTCTCTCTTTTCATACAGATTACATAAACTGAGCATAGTTGTTTTTTATATAAATTAATTCATATAAAAAAAGAGAATTTCAGCTTCATAAAGAAAAATCGCTCGTGTCTCTGTGACAAGTATTGACTGAGTTACAGTTCGTTTTTCGGACGCGTTTCAGAATGAACTTCACTGACAGAGAAGGTAAAACGTGCATCATGTTTATTTTTCTTTGTTTGACAAAAAGCACAACACTTTGTTTTTATTGTGAGTATACACCACAAAAATAGACACTTAACAGGATCGAATGATGTATAACACTTATATGTAAGATCAAAATCAGCAGAGTATTTTGAGTCTCTTTTGCACTTATAAGAAATAAAGTGAGCTGGTATCGCCGGCGATACCGCTGACCCCAGAGGGTTAAAATGTAATTTTTGCAGTGTAACTCATTACCCATAACATGGGTTAATTTGACATGTATTTTAATGCTTCTGTATTTTTTACTTACGAGAGTTCTACGAATAATGAAACTACTGCACTTTGCTTCAATTGAGTCTCATGTACCCTGACTTTTGATTATCAGCGTAAGAAATACATGCCACCCATATATCTCGTTTGACTACTTCCCAGACAGCAACATAGTGTCGGCCCAGATCTGGCATACAGCTGGTACATGTGTTGTTACCAGGTCTGGGCCAGATCTGGGCAGACCCTATGTTGCTGTCTGGGTTGCTTCTAAGGGCTTTAAACAAAACTCTGAATATTTTTTCAAACATGTGAAGCCACAGAATCTGGCAAATCCAAGAACTACTTTCAAATCCAGTGACTAGTTCATCATAAACACAAGTTTGTTCCCTAGCAGACTGATGAAACCCTCTGCACCTGACTCTAGTATGTTGAAAGCCGTAAAATTATAAGGACAGCGAAATAAACATCCAAAGCTATTCTACCAGCTAACATTTTAAAATGATCCTCGTTCATTGTGGATCTTCAGTTTTGCTTTGTTGATAAATTACTAGTATTTTCCCACACTGAGCTCAGTGCCAGACCGAGAGGTTTGCTATTGGTTGCCGCAGTGAATTTAGGTGCCATATTTCACTACACTTGAACCTCACATGAAAATTGCACAGGGAATCGGATATCACATACGGATGAAATTCTTCATCATGCCGATTCCCAGCAACCCAGACAGCAACATAGTGTCGGCCCAGATCCGGCCCACATCTGGTACAGGTGGAATCCACACGGATCAGATCTGGGCCGACACTGTGTTGCTGTCTGGGAAAGGTAACACCGTAACACCGAATGCAATAAAAGACATAGTTTACCTTGGGAGAGCAGCTGGAGTTCTCACTGTTTGCGCTCTCAGATCTGGATGTGAACATCTTGGGGGGTCGCGGTGGAGGATGTTTGGGTTTTTTTGGAGGCCGTGGAGGGGGTGTAACAGTAGCGACAGCGTACCTCCTGAGTGTGTAGTAACAGTCCTCTGAGATCTCCTCTATGGCTGACATTCCACTACATGTTGGACTCTCGCCAGCCCAGCGCTGTTTTATGTTAAGGATCAAGTCTGTACGGTTTACTGGCACCTCCCTGAACTCTGAGAGGTCAAGGTTTGACACGAGGAGGCAAGGGTCCGAGATCTCCTCCTCAATATGCAGACCAGGCAGTCCAGCCAGAACGTCCACCTTCAAAGAGAGGTCACGCACGGACACTTTGACGTTGAAGGGTAGCGGGAACCATCGGCATATTTCCGCAATGGTGTATTGACGCTTGTCCCGAACCAGCTCCATGAATCCCCCCTCCAAACACATGGGGAGGCACACAGGCTCCTTCACCTCTGTCCCGTGGCTTTTCTCTGTGACTTTCAGACATTCACAATTATCAGCTGCCTTCTCGATCCCATTGCGTGAAACCGCACAGCTTTTGCCTTTTGTCACTATAAACTCGTCTCCAGCCTGAACAGAAGCAAGCCCGCTGTACACCGACTCGAACTCTCTGGTGGCGACCACACGTATCTGTTCGGTCTCGCTGCGCGCCCGTTCCAGATCGTAGGCGGTGGGGAACTGCCGTGGCCGACGCTTGAAGCGACCATTATAGGACTCCGGGATAAGAAAGTGTCTTGTTGATTCACGGCACATTTCCGAGGCCAGGATTCGTTTGGCATAAAAAGCATGATGAACGATCACCTGTTTGGAATGGAAAAGGGACTCGAGCTCTGGTGAAACCTTGAAATGGCTTTCACTTGACAACTTGAACACCACAGGAAAAAACTCTGGAGGCCTCTTCAAAACATCCGGAAGAGACAGAGGCTGCACAAAAGAGTCACAATCAAACTCTTCTGTGACATCCACTACCTCCACGTCCAAGTTTGACGGGATGAGCAGAAATTTCTCGCTGACTGTGGGAAGAAAGAGTCCAAGTTTAAAGGAATGTGGAACAGAACACACACACACACACACACGAGCAGAATAGATTTTTTGTCTAAACAAACTACCTACTAACTAAATTAACTACTGTCTTTCATACCTTCGTTTCATTGAATGATGTTGATTTATGTACAGATGGCTTTATAAACATTTTTACAAAGAAACTCTTTCCACTCGTGTTTCATTAATAAAGCCTAATGATTTTCCCAGCAAGTCTTTTAAATTCATCTTCCGTGATCAGACAGCAAAAACATCTAACCCTAAAACTAACCCTATTAATCTCTAAGGGTGTGTTCACACTTGTACAGTAGTTTGCTTCTCACCAAAACAGAAAAAGATGCTTTAGTCCTGGTTCACTTAACATTCATTCAGACTGTCATTTTTAAGACCAAACACACAGATGCAAAAAACAAACGAAAACAAAACAGCTCTTAAAACGGAAAGTGCATAACACCCAAGACATGTTGGGCTAAATGCGCTCATTGTATGTGCAAAGATATGATGGTATTTTTACAAGCTGAAACTCATGGAGAGCTTATAAAAGAACGTTTTTGGTTCGTTCACATGTCTTTGGTCCGTGTTGTGTTCATATTTGGAGACTCCGCTTGTTTGATGCGCACCAGGGTTCAGATGGCAGCGTTCACAAAACCGCACTAACAGAGCAATCGCACCAGGGCTTGTTTTAATCAAACCAAATATGCAAACTGTGAACACACCTTAAATGTCCTTTAAACAATATACATTTCCTTGAAAAGTAAAATATTATCTCTTGTTTTCAGAGAAATCTAAGATTTATAGTAAAAAAGAAAGAAAAAATAACTTAATTAAAAGGGTAAACAAATTTTTTTTTTCATGCCTTTGGCAAATAATATTTTTCGTTTTAAACATAAAGCTCATTCAATTTTGTTAGATTTCTCTGTGAACAAAAATGAGTACAGGTGAAACTCGAAAAAAAGTTCATTTATTTCGGTAATTCAACTTAAAATGTGAAACTAATATATGATATAGACTCATTACATGCAAAGTGAGATATTTCAAGCCTTTATTTAGATATTTCAAGCCTTACAGCTTATGAAAACCCCAAATTCAAAATTATAATATTGTAAAAAAGGTTTTCATAGGTGTAACCCACAATCATCAAAATTATAACAAATAAAGGCTTGAAATATCTCACTTTGCATGTAGTGAGTCTATATAATATATTAGTTTCACATTTTAAGTTGAATTACTGAAATAAATGAACTTTTGCACCATATTCTAATTTTTCGTGTTTCACTTGTATATCTTTGGTTATTTTGGTTTATATATTTTTACAGGAAAACAAGAGAGAAAGAAAGATTTGCTGCAGTGTCGCTATAATTTTGTTATTAATAAGGTTTGTGCACACCACTAGAACAGAAATGAAACCAGTGTCATACTCACGACTCGTAACAGCCTTCAGTTCATACACTGGAGTCAGGATCAGCTCTCCAGATACATTCTCCAACAAACTGGAAAAAAAGAAGTCCTTCTTGGCCGGAGCTTTGACCTCGGTTACAGTCCTCTTCCTGCCCTTGGAGATTTTCCACTCCGCAACCTCTTTCAGGGTGTAAAACTGGTCGTCCTCACACTCTACGAAGCAGCCCTGCTGGGAGAAGCTCAGGCTGAAGCAGAACTTGGGCTCTCTGAGCAGCAGCTCGCACTGCACGTGTCCGGCGGGGAGCTCGTGGGAGACGCCGGTGATCCTGAAGCTGTCTCTCTCTCTTATGAGGCCCTGAGGCAGCTCAATGTCCTGACAGCTGAGGAACACGGGCTGGCCCAGCCGATGAGAGCTGATCTTCAGTGAGACGGCTATCTCCTCAATGCTTCGGTACGGCTGACTGTCAGACACCAGTTTGAACAAACCTGTCACACACAGCACAATGCCAAAATTGAGCCGTTACAAGAGCAAAATTGGTGACAACATAGAGAATGTGGATTATAATAAGTGTACAAACACATCAGTTGTTTAGTGAGTCATCAGCAGGGGTCTCATAAGCCTATTTTTCAGTGGCTCGCTCAGTCAGTCCTGGCTTTCTTCATGAGCTTCTCACCATTGAGAATTCTCCACTCTAAAAAGAGATGTCTTAAAAATGACACATGTAGTGTGTGTGCTCAGAAACAACACATGTTGTGTAGATTTTAACACATGTAGTGTGTGTGCTCAGGGACAACACATGTTGTGTAGATTTTAACACATGTAGTGTGTGTGCTCAGGGACAACACATGTTGTGTAGATTTTAACACATGCAGTGTGTGTGCTGAGGGACAACACATGTTGTGTAGATTTTAACACATGGAGTGTGTGTGCTCAGGGGCAACACATGTTGTGTCAAATTTAACACACAACCTGTGTCGTTTCTTAACACATCTCTGTGTTTATATAAGGACTAAACATTTTGTGTTAGCTTAAACACAACTAATGTGTTATTCCTCTTACACAGCTATGTTGAAACCTTTTACACACTAATGTGTTATAGTTACACAACTTGTGTCAGATGTGTGTTACATGTGACTGTAGTCGGTGTATATTTTGCCAGAGTTACTTCCTGTGTTTTTCCAACTGAGTGTTTGGATGAACACTGAAACGTGTTGTTAACTCGTGTTTATGTAGTCCAGTGATGTTTAATAAAGAGTTTGTTTGAACATTTTATTACCTGGATGTTTTAGACATCATGAATCTACATAGACAAGCTCTTATTGAGAATTAACAGAGGTTTGATGTTTCATTGAATGTTTTATTAGTCACCAGAATCGTGATTAATGGCCCTTTACTCTTCTTTTAGTTTTTCTCTGGCTGCTGTAACTGTATTTTAATAAAATACATTTGTTATGGCCATAGAAAATATGATCAGATGTTTCTTGATGTCAAAATCAGCCCGTACTGATCAGATCAAGTTTTTGAGAATATGGATGGTGTGCATTTATTTTATTTATGTGCTGTTAGTTATAACGGTCTTGTGAAACTACATAATGCTATCCAGCAGTGCAGAATAATTTCTTAAAAAAAAAAAAAAAAAGAAAGTTTCAGAAAGTTTTGAGCTGCAGCAGAAACTAGTCAAACACACACATCAAGAATCAGCACATGAATCTCAACAATCGTGACAAACGAAAAGCTTTATGCAATGCATGCTGGGAGTCATGGATGAGTTTTGTACTATGGTGGCACCAAGCATGCATTGCGGCATGAAGCTTTTCGTTTGTCACCATTGTTGAGATTCATACGCTGATTCTTGATGTGTGTCTGATACCGTAGACTGTAAGATCCTTTACGCACTGTGCATTTAATAACTAATGTTAAGCTAATTGCAACTTGTTAATCTAGCTAAACCTTTTTAAAAGACATTTTCAGATATTAAAGTCTTGCTGAGCTTAACAAAACTACATGATGATAACATTATAATCTGGTCATATTTTTCTCATTGTTATTTCTGCTGTTTTAAATGTGCAAAATAAATACACAGTAACAGCAAACAGAGAAAAACTAATGTTAAAGAGTCAAGAGCCCAAATAAAGCTGACACTAATCACCATTCTGGTGACTTCAAATGAAACATTCAATGATTCGTCAACACCAAAACCTGTTCATTCTCACTAAGAGCTTCTGTAGAGTCTGACAGAAACAACGTCAGTCTGGTTAGTAATAACTAGTGAAAGCAGCATTTGAAAAAGACATTGAAAAGAGGCATGATGTGATTGGCTGCCAAAATACACCCGTTAATCTTTTGTTTTTATGAATTAAGATTCTATTTATTTATTTTAATGTATTGTTTTATTTATTTTAGAGCTTTTTATGGGATACCATATAAAATGTACCTATAATTTTTTTTATAAACACAAACTGCCCTCCACCCAGTGCTATTATATCCAGAGTTACATTTTAACACACATTTTGTGTTAAAAATCTACACAATATGTGTCAAAATAGCATCAACACATGCTGTGTGTTGTTTTTAACACATCTCTTTTTAGAGTGTCAAGTGGACTTGTCTATATGACCCCAATCGACTTTTCCATAGTAAATAAACATGGTTCCCTTCATCTCAGTTGCATAAAATGTTGTCATTTTTTCTACATTATCTATCTATACACACACACAAAAACTAGGCTTGATTCAGTTGTTCTAAAGGTATGTATAAAAAAAAAAAAAAAAAGTAACATGTTCTTTGGGGTCAATATGACCCGACATTGAAATTAATGGGAAAATCAACAAACAAAAAAAAAGAAAAGAAAAAAGGCTTTCCTTTCACCTGCCCTATTGTTCACAGTCCTGGCTTACTTGAAAGCAAGACTTTAGATATACAAAGATGGCGCACTGGAATTACAATCAATGGGAGAACGTGCAATGCGCAATATGGCGGAATAAGTCCCACCTTCTAAACAAAAGAGCCAATCGCAAATTGGTCACTAGAGTTGCTGTTGGTCCAGCCTGAAAAATTCATTTTTTTACCTACTTCCTCTCACTTCTACACCCAGATCTACACTCCAGAAGCCCGAGAGATCGACACTCCACCGTACATCAACAAGAGACACAACATCACTGTTCTTCACTGGTGGAATGATCTTCTCAGTCCAGTAAGAACAGACGAGTCCCTTTGCCACTCAACAACCGGGAGGGTTGAAACATGAAGTATCACTGTCAGTTGAACCACCCAGAAATGATCTACAGGGTTAAAATCTTCATCATACAGGAGCACGACGTGCCTGAGGTGACAGCAGATGTCACGATTCACGGTGGATTCATTAAAAAGATGCACAGAAAAAAAAAATTTGAGGTGGGGAAATCAAAATTTCACCAGGTTCTCTTATTTATTTTGATGTAAAAACATCGACTCACCAAAATGTAAAAAAACAAAACAAAACAATTATCATGTCTGAGCCGACGGGGAGATCTGCAACACGACTTCCTCCGTTCACATCACACAGACTGAACAAAGCCGACATCTGTGAAAGTACTAGCGTACGCACACATACTCTACATTTCTTTAGGTGTTAGTCTATGTTTTATGTATTTGCATTTGATTTATGCTTGTGGAGTGTTTTGGTGTTTTAGAATAAACAATTTTTGAAATTTTAAAATTAATTTTAAGCATTTTAATTAAAAAGGGAAACAATGAAATGGAGCATAATTGGAGAATGGGGCTGAGAGTATTGTTAAAGTTAATTCAGAAACAAACTGATCACATGGGATAAATTAAAGATTTATATGGACTTTTGAGGGTATAATATGATAAATAATAATGGAACTGAATGGAAGCTGCTGCTCAAATGGACTGAGCGAGTTTAGTGTTCTTCTGCCGCATTTCATCCAACAATACTTACAAATCCAAGATACAAATCGTTTGCTTTCCAAACAGAAAAATTTGGCATGAAAATAAAATTAAACTTTGAAGAGATTTTAAAATATCAGTATATGAAAGAAAGAACTGAGTGTGGTTTCCCTGTACCTGGATACTCCACCGGTATGTCGATGTGTGTGTCGCTGGAGCTCTGTGCTGTGAATCTGGTGATGGTGATGTCGATGACTTTCAGCAGATCTCCTGTCGAGAGAGAGCACTCTCTTCCAAACATCTCATACACGCAGCCTGAAACACACCAGTGTTAAACACTCACATTAAACATGTCAAAGCTCTCACTATTCCAGTCCATTTAGCTGGGATTGCTGTAAAACTATTATACTGGAGTGAAGTGACATTATGAGTAGTTAAAAAGGATGAAATTATGTAGTGTGCGCAGTTAATGACATCACGAACATCAGGCATATTACACACCGAAGAGAGCTAGAGAAAGATCACACACAGGTTGGTTTCCGCTCTTGATATCATGTGGTTTGAAAATAAACTTTTCTTTGTTTCTTCAACTGATAAATTTAGTCATTCAGTCATCTTGCTAGTTACAATTACCTCTAAATCATTAAAAAAAGAGTTTTTGATTTTTTGCTAAATTATACGGTTGATTTAAAAAAGAATATGTAACGAAACCCTTGTGTCACGATTTTATATATCTATCACAATAGTTAACTCATGATATGATATTATTGCGATACTCCAAGACATATGATAAAAGATTAACAAAAAATGTACTGTTGATTAAAAATGCTAGATTTGTATTACATAGTGTGTGTAAATGAACAGGCTTGGACTCAGTGCTGGAAACCCAAAGCACAGGACAATACAGACACCAGAATAACAATATTCATGATTCTGGAGATGAAAACACTGAATTATTTCTTGCACTCTGTCACTGACTAGATATATTTAAAATAATGTTGGCCACTTTTACTGCTAACATCAGACATTTCGCATTATCAGGACACACAGATATCCCCCCATTGCATTATTATACATTATATTCAACATTATACATAGCAGTTTAATGTAGTACTGACACTAAAACTCTGTAAACTTGATTTTTTTCCTCACACAGTACATTTTATTTTGGATGAATTATACACAATACAGATTGTCACTATCCACGATACATATTGTTGCATTTTTGTATTGTGATATATTGTGACAGTGCCCGTCTTCAAAACCAAATTACGTAACAGGATTACATGGTGTCTTTTATAAGAAAGAATTTGTTTTAAAAAGCAGCAAACTTATCAATTATTAAAAACATATTTTTCAACATTTCCAGTTTGTTTCTCAACGGCAATCCCTCACCTAGGCCAATACGTGAGACGGATATTCTGGATATTACGACGTTCAAAACTTATAATCACATCGACAGCGAGGTGCAGATGAATTGTGTGCAGGTGTTGGCTTACCTTGATAGTAGATTCCTGACTGGATCTGAAGCACTCGAGGGAAAGTTTTAGGATCCACAAATTGTGTGAACTCATGCAGTGTCGTAGCCATCTTCTGCTGTGTGTGTGAGGAGACGCTTCTAGAGCTGAGAGCGAAGGCTGGTCCATGCAGCTGGACGGCGGAGGAAAACCCTGATGCCCTTTGGACTTCCAGATGCCCCTGAGCCCAGAAGAGCCGAGCGAGAACGAGACAGCGAGGCTTCGAGCGCAGAGGAGGAGGAGGAGGAGGAGGAGGACAGGAAGCCACCTTCAGCTCAACGCATTGTTAAGCAGAGCTGCACCGGGGATTCTGCAAAACTACTCTGACATACTCAAATCCCACATCCTCTGCCTGACTTCATGACACCAGGGCCAAAGCGAAGCTGAAACAAACAGGGATCCAAGTCCCCGAAACAAGCGTTCATCCAACGCCACTGTCACTGCAAAATCGTTTAAAAAAATAATCATAAGTAAAATAAAATAAAATAAAAAAAATCAGTTTTTACAGAAAAAAAATAAACTGGCAGCTGTGGTTGCCAGAAAAAATCTGTAAAAACGAAAGAGGTAAACATTTACAGAACATGTAGATTTTACATTTTAAAACTACTTTTTACTGTACTTTTAACATATACTTACGACCACCATATCAACACTGATGCTAAAGAGAAAAACACATGAAGAATCAAAGTTCATCACAGGCTGAGGGAAATACTGAACCATCATCATAACACACACCACATAACACTCAAATACTGCAACATAAGATGGAACATAAAACACTAATGCACAAACAAATAAACAAGATGATCAAATAAGATCAAATGTGAAATGTCACACAGGGAAGTTTACGTTTTGTCACTGTAAATTAGAATATGATTTGTTCGGTACATTTAACAGTGTTTCACTGTAAAATGAGATCTGTTAGTTTTCCCTGTATATACAGGAGCAATAGAACGGATTCTTGACCAGTTAACAGGTTTTACTTTCGCAGTTTTACAGTCTATTACTGTTAAAATTACCATTTATGATAGCAATTGTCACGTTTTTGTTTCCTCTGTTTTCACTGTTCAGTTTCTAGTCACTCCTCCTTCATTAGTTCATTGGGTTCAGCTGTGTCTTGTTAGTTACTATGGTTACTGTCACTGAGTTCATTTGGTTCAGCTGTGTCTGGTAAGTTACTATGGATACTGTCACTGAGTTCATTTGCCCCAGCTGTGTCTTGTTAGTTACTATGGTTACTGTCACTGTGTTCATTTGCCCCAGCTGTGTCTGGTTAATTACTATGGTTACTGTCCCTGAGTTCATTGGGTTCAGCTGTGTCTTGTTAGTTACTATGGTTACTGTCACTGAGTTCATTTGCCCCACCTGTGTCTGGTTAGTTACTATGGTTACTGTCACTGAGTTCATTGGGTTCAGCTGTATCTGGTTAGTTACTATAGTTACTGTCACTGAGTTCATTGGGTTCAGCTGTGTCTGGTTAGTTACTATGGTTACTGTCACTGAGTTCATTTGGTTCAGCTGTGTCTTGTTAGTTACTATGGTTACTGTCACTGAGTTCATTGGGTTCAGCTGTGTCTGGTTAGTTACTATGGTTACTGTCACTGTATTCATTTGCCCCAGCTGTGTCTGGTTAGTTACTATGGTTACTGTCACTGAGTTCATTGGGTTCAGCTGTGTCTGGTTAGTTACTACGGTTACTGTCACTGAATTCGTTTGGTTCAGCTCTGTCTGGTTAGTTACTATGGTTACCGTCACTGTGTTAATTTGCCCCAGCTGTGTCTGGTTAATTACTATGGTTACTGTCACTGTGTTAATTTGGTTCAGCTGTGTCTGGATAGTTACTATGGTTACTGTCACTGTGTTAATTTGCCTCAGCTGTGTCTGGTTAATTACTATGGTTACTGTCACTGAGTTCATTTGGTTCAGCTGTGTCTGGATAGTTACTATGGTTACAGTCACTGAGTTCATTGGGTTCAGCTGTGTCTGGTTAGTTACTATGGTTACTGTCACTGAGTTCATTGGGTTCAGCTGTGTCTTGTTAGTTACTATGGTTACTGTCACTGAGTTAATTTACCCCAGCTGTGTCTGGTTAGTTACTATGGTTACTGTCACTGAGTTCATTTGGTTCAGCTGTGTCTGGTTAGTTACTATGGTTACTGTCACTGAGTTCATTTGGTTCAGCTGTGTCTGGTTAGTTATTATGGTTACAGTCACTGAGTTCATTGGGTTCAGCTATGTCTGGTTAGTTACTATGGTTACTGTCACTGAGTTCATTGGGTTCAGCTGTGTCTGGTTAGTTACTATGGTTACTGTCACTGAGTTCATTGGGTTCAGCTGTGTCTGGTTAGTTATTATGGTTACAGTCACTGAGTTCATTGGGTTCAGCTATGTCTGGTTAGTTACTATGGTTACTGTCACTGAGTTCATTGGGTTAAGCTGTGTCTGGTTAGTTACTATGGTTACTGTCACTGAGTTCATTGGGTTCAGCTGTGTCTTGTTAGTTACTATGGTTACTGTCACTGAGTTAATTTACCCCAGCTGTGTCTGGTTAGTTAATATGGTTACTGTCACTGTGTTAATTTGCCCCAGCTGTGTCTGGTTAATTACTATGGTTACTGTCACTGAGTTCATTTGGTTCAGCTGTGTCTGGTTAGTTACTATGGTTACAGTCACTGAGTTCATTGGGTTCAGCTATGTCTGGTTAGTTACTATGGTTACTGTCACTGAGTTCATTGGGTTCAGCTGTGTCTGGTTAGTTACTATGGTTACTATCACTGAGTTCATTGGGTTCAGCTGTGTCTTGTTAGTTACTATGGTTACTGTCACTGAGTTAATTTACCCCACCTGTGTCTGGTTAGTTATTATGGTTACTGTCACTGAGTTCATTTGGTTCAGCTGTGTCTGGTTAGTTACTATGGTTACTGTCACTGAGTTCATTTGGTTCAGCTGTGTCTGGTTAGTTATTATGGTTACTGTCACTGAGTTCATTGGGTTCAGCTGTGTCTGGTTAGTTACTATGGTTACTGTCACTGAGTTCATTTGGTTCAACTGTGTCTGGTTAGTTACTATGGTTACTGTCACTGAGTTCATTTGATTCAGCTGTGTCTGGTTAGTTATTATGGTTACTGTCACTGAGTTCATTGGGTTCAGCTGTGTCTGGTTAGTTACTATGGTTACTGTCACTGAGTTCATTGGGTTCAGCTGTGTCTGGTTAGTTACTATGGATACTGTCACTGAGTTCATTGGGTTCAGCTGTGTCTGGTTAGTTACTATGGTTACTGTCACTGAGTTCATTGGGTTCAGCTGTGTCTGGTTAGTTACTATGGTTACTGTCACTGAGTTCATTGGATTCAGCTGTGTCTTGTTAGTTACTATGGTTACTGTCACTGAGTTAATTTACCCCAGCTGTGCCTGGCTAGTTACTATGGTTACTGTCACTGAGTTCATTTGGTTCAGCTTTGTCTGGTTAGTTACTATGGTTACTGTCACTGAGTTCATTGGATTCAGCTGTGTCTTGTTAGTTACTATGGTTACTGTCACTGAGTTAATTTACCCCAGCTGTGTCTGGTTAGTTACTATGGTTACTGTCACTGTATTCATTTGCCCCAGTTGTGTCTGGTTAGTTACTACGGTTACTGTCACTGAGTTCATTGGGTTCAGCTGTGTCTGGTTAGTTACTACGGTTACTGTCACTGAGTTCATTGGGTTCAGCTGTGTCTGGTTAATTACTATGGTAACTGTCACTGAGTTCATTGGGTTCAGCTGTGTCTAGTTAGTTACTACGGTGACTGTCACTGAGTTCATTTGCCCCAGCTGTGTCTGGTTAGTTACTATGGTTACTGTCACTGAGTTCATTGGGTTCAGCTGTGTCTGGTTAGTTACTATGGTTACTGTCACTATGTTCATTTGCCCCAGCCGTATCTGGTTAGATACTATGGTTACTGTCACTGAGTTCATTGGGTTCAGCTGTGTCTGGTTAGTTACTATGGTTACTGTCACTGAGTTCATTTGCCCCAGCTGTGTCTGGTTAGTTACTATGGTTACTGTCACTGAGTTCATTTGCCCCAGCTGTGTCTGGTTAGTTACTATGGTTACTGTTCCTGAGTTCATTTGCCCCAGCTGTGTCTGGTTACCCTGATCTGTTCTCGGTGTATTTAAGCCCTCTGTTTCTCCCTGTCCGTGGTCTTGCATTATATACACTCACCTAAAGGATTATTAGGAACACCTGTTCAATTTCTCATTAATGCAATTATCTAATCAACCAATCACATGGCAGTTGCTTCAATGCATTTAGGGGTGTGGTCCTGGTCAAGACAATCTCCTGAACTCCAAACTGAATGTCAGAATTGGAAAGAAAGGTGATTTAAGCAATTTTGAGCGTTGCATGGTTGTTGGTGCCAGACGGGCCGGTCTGAGTACTTCACAATCTGCTCAGTTACTGGGATTTTCACGCACAACCATTTCTAGGGTTTACAAAGAATGGTGTGAAAAGGGAAAAACATCCAGTATGCGGCAGTCCTGTGGGCGAAAATGCCTTGTTGATGCTAGAGGTCAGAGGAGAATGGGCCGACTGATTCAAGCTGATAGAAGAGCAACTTTGACTGAAATAACCACTCATTACAACCGAGGTATGCAGCAAAGAATTTGTGAAGCCACAACACGCACAACCTTGAGGCGGATTGGCTACAACAGCAGAAGACCCCACCGGGTACCACTCATCTCCACTACAAATAGGAAAAAGAGGCTACAATTTGCAAGAGCTCACCAAAATTGGACAGTTGAAGACTGGAAAAATGTTGCCTGGTCTGATGAGTCTCGATTTCTGTTGAGACATTCAGATGGTAGAGTCAGAATTTGGCGTAAACAGAATGAGAACATGGATCCATCATGCCTTGTTACCACTGTGCAGGCTGGTGGTGGTGGTGTAATGGTGTGGGGAATGTTTTCTTGGCACACTTTAGGCCCCTTAGTGCCAATTGGGCATCGTTTAAATGCCACGGCCTACCTGAGCATTGTTTCTGACCATGTGCATCCCTTTATGGCCACCATGTACCCATCCTCTGATGGCTACTTCCAGCAGGATAATGCACCATGTCACAAAGCTCGAATCATTTCAAATTGGTTTCTTGAACATGACAATGGGCCCTATTTTGCACCCGCGCAAAGCGGACTTTTCCCTCCACAGACACACGTCGGTTAACCAAGAAATACACTTGCGCTCCCCGGGGCGGTTCAGCGCAAAGAGGAGG